CACAGGACATCAACTGCATCTTGGCCGCAAAGAAAGCCCGAGTGACTTTTTTTAACTTTAAGAGATGCCTTTATTTTTAACCAGTAAATCGGATCTCGGTGTACCTGAAACGCTGTTTGCCGGCGGCATGGCTGGTATCTTCAACTGGCTTGTTGCAATTCCACCTGATGTGTTGAAGTCTCGATTGCAAACAGGTAGGACAGTCATCCATTCTACTTCACTGCCCTTTATGTTAATTTAAATACGTGCCTTGTGGCTCAGCAGACCAATTAAAGATTGCTTCAAATTTTATTTTTCTCGTGGTACACTTTCAGCTGTTAATGCGTTGCACAATTCTAAAATTCTCGTGATGTTTCCAAAGGCGCCGTTTGTCAACTGCAAAATTGGTCGTTTTATTCACTGCAACTTTGTGATTATACCCTCAAATACCTGTGTCAATTGTAGTTTTAGCAAGTTACCGGTTGCTAAGTCTTTGTATTCATTTCAATTCTTTCGTAAGTTTGCAGTCAAGTGTTTAATGAAAGTACGCTACTTTCACGAACCCTTTGTAGAGCTTATATTGTCTAAGGGTTTTCGTGCTGATTTCGTATTCATAACTGAGCTCATTATGAGTGAATCACTTGGCTCCTTACCCCAAGTCTCGGTTAACTGCCTTTCAATACGATGAATCTGCGACGGCAACCTAGACTCAAATGCACTCGAAGTCTTGACGAAATTTGTCTATGTATCCACCCAGAAACCTTAGCATCATCGCCAATCAGAGCAGGTACTATCCCGAAAAAATTTGTCTTCAGCGCGTGACTTAAACATCTTAATAAGTGATTAAGGAGAACAGAGTTTATTATTGGTGTTGTCGATTGTTTTCATTCATCGTTCAGGGAGACCACCTGGAAGACAAATGTGGGTATGTGACGCGTCTGTCAACCTTCGACTGAACGGTCGCAAGTAGCGTATATATTCTCAGTTCACGAGCCGCCTTGCATCACCGTGGAAGCATTGCCTCGAAGAAAGCTTCGCTGCGTCTTATT